TGTGATTAGCAATGAGAGATGTAGTACAGGAAGATTGCCAGAAACCTATCCAACTAGATCTGCAGATGACTTGCTATAGTTTTGTTTAAAGTCCACCACAGGTATAGTCTTCAACTGTGTGTGAATAGCCACAGTGAGATAATGATACTGCTGTAAGGTATGGCTACATACCAAGTGGTGCTGAATGCTTGGAGAACACCTGAGCAAAACTCCCAATCTCTCTAAGCTTGTTGGGCCCCCTGGCCTATCTGGTACAATAACCGGGGCGACTGGGGTAAGACTCATATGACGGGATGTGTAGTAGGAAATAGAAAGCACTCCTTGTGTTCTCAAATTTATCTCTACCTTTTCTCTCCAGCAAAAGAAAAGGAAAAGAAGCAGGCCTTTAGTTAGCTAAGAAAAAAAGGAGTATTTAGGTATGCAAAAGAGCTCTGAAGCAACCTAAATAGGACTTAAATATTAAAACTATATCAAAAGGCATCTGCATGCTTCCTTTCCTTTGTAATAAATTACAATCTGAATGCAAATCATGGGGTAAATACATGATATTTGCTCCTGGCTGCAGATTATTAAGAAATCAAGACAATAAAAACAAACATATAATTTGAATAGTAAGAACTTTATGGTAAGCTGTTCATCTACAAGCTTTTTTTATACTTACTATATCATTACTATAATCTTAAGTCCTCCAAAATGGAATTTTTAAGTTTGTAGTCTCAAGCACCATTTCCTTTTCTGCAAATGGTAAATAAAAAAGTTTTCCCCAGTTCCTAGGAATTCTAAGGCAACCCTCAGTTTATCTACTGCTGCAGGAAAATTTAGAAGTTCTCTGGTAAAACTAAGTATGAAGCACTCCATAAACTTTACTGCCTGCACTATCATCTCTGTTTTATTTCATCAGATTACGCTAAGAGCAGCTTGATTCTTCATGAGCCAGATGGGCAGAAATTTGAGAATTGTCTGTTCAAATATTTTGATTCCCAGTAAATCACCTTAATATCTAGAATCATTTGTTCTGCTGCTTCCATGGAAAGTTCTCTCTGATTTGAGCCTTGCTGTTTACTTGCCCTACCAAATCTGCTGTTTCTTGCTGCCAAAGAAGCTGTGGTATTACAAAATACAGAGAGACACCCCACTGCACAAGTCTCCTGTATACAGCTCAGTCTCCAATGTACTTGACAAACAACTCTCTAATTCCTTCTGGAAGGCAAAGAGAATAATAAAATAGGACTTTTGAATTTATTCACAAATATTATGCTTACTTAACAAGTGATAGGGAAGAAAAATTTTCTTTCATGCTCCTAATTATAAATGCATACTCCCCTGGTCTTTACAAATTTTATATGGTGCTGTCTCAAGTGGTCAAGGAGATAATAAATAAGTAATGTGAGTGGGGAAGACACTGGGTAAAGAAATATTTTTTACTCTTATCTCTTATGCTTTTTTTAAAAAAATATTTTTATTGTAAAGATACTGTACAAAGGGGTTACAGTTATATGAATAAGGTAATGAGTACATTTCCTATTGAGCATTGTTACCCCCTCCTTTGTCTTTCCCCTACTATCCCTTCCCTCTTCACCTCCCAACTCCTCCCTGGCACCCCCTCCCTCTCCCCGGCGCCCCCTCCCTCTCCCCCCCCCCCAAGTTGTAAAGTTCCTTTTCAACATGGAATCTTTGGAGGGCAATCTGGCTGCAACACCTGTCACCCCATTGATCTCCAGGATTGATTCGGTTGACCTGGCTGGGTAGACAATATCCACTTCCTCCTTCACCACTCCTAGCTGCAGACATGGTTAAAGAGGAAGACCATCCTCAATAGAAGAGGACTGGTCTTCAGTCAAGGGTACAACCAGTAGCTGGACTCCCCTGATAGATCCTCCAAACAAGCTCTTTTATGCTTTGAGTTTTTAAATGCTATTTCTTAAGTATAGTGTATTATGTTAGTTAAAGTAGTTAGAAACTCATAGGAATATATTTAACAAAAAATGTTAATAGCTTGCATGGGTAGCATCTTTATTTACAAATGCTACAAATTACACTTTGACTAATCAAATGCCAATGCAATTTCTGTCTTAAATAAAGTGTTACATGTTTTTCCTACTAAATATTTTTAATGTAACTCATATTTACAAAGACAGTTCTATAAATGCAATATATATTTTGTATATGGTTGGGTTTTGTCTATACTGATGGCATGTTGAAATAATTTTTTAAATAAACATTTACTATTGATATTAAATTGGAGACAAGTCATAATTACATGTTTATGGGATGCAATGTGATGTTTTAATGTATATATACATTATATATACTTAATGTATATATACATGTAGAATGTTATACAAAGCTAATTAATTACAATTGTCACATTTTTATAAATGGTATAAAATATGGATTTAATCACATTTTTCTGCCTGTAAATATCCAGTATTTTCCCTATTCTGTATTCTTAATACTTGTTTTAAAAATCTAATGACAATATATAAACAAACACACAGAAACACAAACACATATATACAAACATATATGGGCTTATTCCTGGATTTCCCATCTTATTGCATTGGCTAATGTCTTGTTTTTATGGTACTATCATACTCTTTTGATTATAAATGCTTTAGAATATGCTTTGAATTCAAGGACTCAATACTTTATTTCTTCCTCTTGACTGTTCTTTATTATTTTAATATCAAAGTGTATATTGTTTTGTAATTCATGTCTCCTAATAATTTATTATGAGCACAGTTATTTTTCAGTAGTTTTGACATTTATCCTTGCTAATAAGGATAAATTCTTTGCATGTCTCCTTTATAGTATTACAGAATTCTAAATGTTCCTGTCAATTGCACATACTATTGAGATTTTAACTTTAATTTGTTACTTATGCATATGTGCTTGTTGTGTTTGTTGCTCATTAGTAGCCTTTCTCTTCAGCATAAAGAACTCCAGCTAACAAATTTGCAAGTAAGCCTAATGGTGATATGCTTACTGAGTTTTTGTTTGTCTGGAAGATTTTTGTTTTTTTCTTCCTTATTTCTGAAGGACATTGTTATCAGGTAAATCTTCATAGTAGTATTTTCTTTTTTTTTTCTGGTTTGTCTTTTTTTTTTTTTTTTAGCACCTTGAATATGTAATCTCTTTTTCTGCTGCCCTTCAGGATTTCTACTGAAAAATCTACCAAAAGCTTTATCAAGGCTAAATGTGATGTTTCATGATAAGAAGTCAACAAAGAAATAGAGTGAGACATAATTCCTGCTCTCAGTATTCTTTGTCTTTGATTAGTTATGTGTCCTGTTGAACTTTTTTTTTTTTTGGTTGGTCATGGCATTTGAACTCTGGGCTGGGCACTGTCCCTCAGCACTTCAGCTCAAGGCTTGCGCTCTACCACTTGAGCCACACAGTGCTACTTCATTTTTCTGAGTGGTTTATTCGAGTGGTTTTATTGTGATTCTCAGATCTCAGCCTCCTGAGTAGCTAGGATTACAGGCGTGAGTCACCAGAGCCCATCTGAACTTTTTTTTTTTTAACCAAACTTTACTGATAGTCTCTGAGCTTCCTGTACCTAGATATTTCCTTTTATCCCCAGATTTTAAAGGTTTTCTCAACTATATGCTTGAGGCCATTTACCCTTTTACTTCATAAATGCAGAAATTCCTATTAAGCAAAAAGTAGCTTGTGTGATGATCTGGTATAACATAATTTTCAATCTTCCTCACATTTTTCTAAATTCTTTTGTATCCTCTAATTAAGCAATTTTGAATATCCTATCTTGAACCTACTGACTCTCTTCTACCTAATCAAATCTGCTCTTGAAATTACCTATTGAATTTTTCAGGTCAGTAATTGCCTTATTTGCGTGAATTTCTATTGGTTTTAACAATTTTGCATCTAACTTTTCATTTATTTTCGGAATTAGTTTCCAAATTGTATTTAATTTTCTATTCATATTTTCTCAGAGTTGCCTCTGAATTCTTTGTCAGTCATTTCTCTGGGTCTATTATTAGAGCTCTGTTAGTCTCTTTCTATAGTGTCATATCCTTCTGATTTTTTTGAATCCTTGTGCATTTGTGTTCATACCTAAGCATTCGAGAAGTTGTTAACCTCATTCAGATTTTGCAAATGTCGTTCGATAGTAAAAGTACTTTACTATTAATTCTAGCCAGAACTTTCAGAGAAGATGGTTGTTAGCTAAAATGGACAGGCAGCCCTTGGTGTCAGATTTTCTCATCAGTATCAGTAAGTTCTGTGTTCTAAGGTTAAACACTTCTGTTAATCCTGTGGCCCAGTAAGACAACTAAATGGCTGCCTCCAAGATTTTAGGTTGTCTTCCCTGGCTAGACTGCATTGTTTCATTGAATGTCTAGTTAAGAAGGCCTAGGTGATAAGCTCCAAGGTAGGATGACATCTCTGAAGTTATTGAGTAGTGACCCAGGAAAGGCAGGACCAAAGGCTATGTTCTATAGATATATGTAGACATGTACTTGCCTCCTGGTATGGAACAGATATAAACATGCTTGACTACCAGGATTTGAGAAGGTCATCACTCAGAATCTGGGGTTGAATGGGACCAGAAGCTCCCTTCATAGGTAATCACTGATCTGAAGTTGCCTCATTCTGGAGAAGACTTAAGAACAGTTAGCTATATGGAAGAACTGAGTAGGAATCGGGGAGCAGAAGAATTGTGAGTTATATGTCCTTCATTGAAATACTGTTCATTAGTTTCCATAGTGTGGTACCTCCATTGATCATCACGAAGAGCTAGCACCAATTTTTACATCCTGGTCGTGGTAAACTCCTCCTCTCTTCATTGTTTCTAATAAGGCACAGCTCATACTTCTAATATTTCCCTTGGGATGAAAGAATCTCATGTGAAGGTGAATGCATGACTGGAACTCAATGAAAGCTATGAAAATAACTATAAAAACACCAAGTCTACTGGAATACTCTGAGTCATTGAGGGCTTCAAAGAGGAGAAGCGAAGTCAAAGATGATGGTTCTCTTACCTATAAATCAGGACGTTGCTCAGCTCTGAAGTCCAAGAGGGTGACTAGGCTTTACTTCCAAATTCTGTTGTATGGAGGATGGCATTCTTCCCTGTGGATAAATCCTGGCTAGATTCTATGGGAGAAAATAAATTTTTTTTGGTTTTTTTGGGTTTTTTTAAATAAGTTTTTTATTGTAAAAATACTGTACAGAGGGGTTACAATTATATGAGCAAGGTAATGAATACATTTCTTATCCAGCATTGTTGCCTGCTCCTTTGTTTTTTCCCTACCATCCCTTCCCTCTCATCTCCACAACTACCCCAGCGCCCCCACCCCCCGCCTAAATTGTAAAGTTCGTTTTTCAACATAGCGTCTTGTACATCTCATTGTTGCATTGAGTCAGCCTGTATCCCTATTTAAACCATTTGTTTTTTCCCTTCCACTCCCCAAATTATACCAACATCAAATACAGTGAAAACAGGGATTATACCATGGGGGAGGGACATACAAAGCAACAAAAAAATCACGTGGTACCTTATAAATACGTTAGAAACAATAGCAAGAAAGAAAAAACACTTGTGTCCTTATCTTGGGGTTCATTTCGCTTATCATCATATTAAAAGAAAATAAAGTTTAGAAACTCTCATTCTGTCATCTTACTGGTGTCATTCCTGCCATTATTTTCAAAATAAAATTGTAAGTTGAATCTGAGTAGTAAATAAATGGGAAAATATTTACTAGTGGGTTATTCATGAACTGTTTCTCTTAGAATAAAAATAAAAAGTAGAGGAAAGCAAATAACAATTATTTGAAGTCTCAAGTATTCAGAGAACTACCTTGTAAGAATTTCACTATAGATAAGAACAGGTGGCGACAGTCAGATTTCCCATCTGCAAACTGTAAAATTATCTACAGGTTGGCTTTCACAAGTACTATAACCAATATGTGGAAACCTATCCATTTGAAAATTGTGCCAGATGGCCCCTGACCAAATTCAGAAAGCCACATAGGATCAATGTTCTTTCTTGTGTTTTTTTTTTTTCAAATTTAAAGCAGATGACCATACCATTTGCACAGCAAAATAGGAGTCATTTGCACAGCAAAATAGGAGCTGTGAATGGTATGTGGGTATGTGAGCAGAATTTATTTAGTGAATTGAAAAAGGAGACAGTTAATGACATTGAGCTCCTTTAAATCCCAAATCCCAATTACCTAAATCCTCTGCAGATGTGATCCAGTCAGAGGTAAAGATAAGATTCATAATTATCTGATTGTTTTAAGCAGCATTTATTATTTCAACTTCCTCTCCAGAAAATAAATCAAGAAATTTCCTAATCTGTATAACTAAGCATTATTATTCTCACATTGTGATTTGGGTTGTTTCCCAGTATTTTCACTCACTATTTTCAACTGAGTAATGTGTTAGCTTCATAATATACATCTTGTTTTAGAGTCTCTGTGAGATAAGACTGCTCAAAGCTTAACAAACCTAGAGCCCTCAAAAAGAAATCACCATTGTATGGCTGCAATATCATATTAGTATTATCTACCACAATCAATGTAATGCTGCTAAGTATTTTTTATAATCATAAATTATGCAGTAATTTCATCTTTAGTTTCTTCCTTCTCATATATTAATTAAAACAAATATTGAGAGAAAGTAAGGAGTGAAAGAATGAAAGAATTTAGGGAGGAAAGGGAAAGAGCAGGAAGGGAAGTAAGAGAAGCAAGCTCCTCATAAAAGAAAATGCAATGTTCACTGAATTATGTCCCCTCAAAATTCAAATGTGAAGCCCTAACATCAAGTACCTCAGAATGTGATTCTATTTGGAGACAGGGCCTTTAAAGAGGTAATTAAGTTTAATGAGGCCATTACAGTGGGCTCTAATCCAATCTAATTTATAAGAAGAGATTAGGGCACTGTAAGCTAAAAAAAAATAAATTGTTACTCCTCTGAGTTCTTAATTGGGATCCAAAAAAATAGATAAACAAGAGAAAAACAAACAATTTTTTAAATAAGCATGCCTCACACACACATAGTGTACATGGTCCTCATCTGAAACACATGAGTAAATCTCAGCAATTACTTAGAGTTCAGGTTATGTATCACCTTCCCCAACAACAGGGAAGAAAAATGTTAAGAAAGTACTTGATGCGGAAGTGACTCAGAATAGCATGGTAAGCAAGGATTAAGCTTCAATGTGTCCTCCTCCTCCTTCCCCTCCTCCCCTCTTCCCCCTCCTCCCCCTCCTCCCCCTCCTCCCCCTCCTCCCCCTCCTCTCCCTCCTCCTCCTCCTCTCCCTCCTCCTCCTCCTCCTGCTTCTTCTTTTTAACACATAATTCCTTGCCTTCTCTTATTTTGTTATATCTCAATAAAGAAATGAGCTAGAAGTACTGGTTACAATTTTTACATTATAGAATATAAAGGTCAGTCATGGGCTGGGAATGTGGCTTAGTGGTACAATGCTTGCCTAGCATGCACGAAGCCCTAGGTTCAATTCCTTAGTATCACATGCACACAAAAAGCCAGAAGTGGCACTTGTGGCTCAAGGGGCAGAGTGCTTGCCTTGAGTAAAAGAAGCTCAGGAAAAATGCTCAGGTCCTGAGTTGAAGCCCCAGAACTGGTCAAGAACAAAAACAAAAAACAAAAACTCAGTTGTATTCTAATAACAAAGTATCTGAAAAATAAATTATAAAAACAATTTAATTTACATAACAAAAATATTTTAGAATAAACTTAATTTAAAAAGTGAAAGAATTGCATGCTGAAAATTTTAAAGCATTAATAAGGAATATTAAAGATACAAATATGTGGAAAGGCTTCCCATGAGCTTCTATTGAAAGAAATAATCCTCTTATTCACACTACCCAAAATGATTGATAAATAGTCAAGGCAACTCAGGCTGTCTGTAATGTATTGGTTTTATTCAAGGAATTTTATGGTTTTCCTTACTATATTGAAGTCTTTTAAAATTTCTTTTTTGTTGTTGTTGTTCAGATAAGGGGTAAGTTTATTCAGTAGACCTGCTGGGAACAGGCCAGGTTGGCCCTCCACGTGGCTGGGAAAGGCCTAGGAAAGAGCTGGGAAAGAGAGCTGGGAAATAGAGAGAGCTGGGAAAGAGAGGTGGGAAAGAGAAAGGTGGAAAGAGACAGGTGGGAAAGAGAGCTGGAAAAGAGAAAGCTGAGAAAGAGAGGTGAGAAAGAGAAGAGAGAGCTGGGAGAGAGAAGAGAGAGCTGGGAAAGAAAGAGCTGGGAAAGAGTTAAAATTTCTTTTGATTTTTATTTTTATTAATTTTTTACCATGATTGGACAAAACTACACGTAATAAATCTTCAAATAAAATGAACTTACTGTAGTTCACTGACTTTTATGCTTTTTTGTAAACATTCATTACCTTATTGAGCTGTTAAATTTTATTGTTATGCATAGGAATTGATATGTTATGGTTCCAATTTTCTTAAACTAAAACCACAAAAGCAAATATTTATAGGAAATCACCTATGTTGCACAGTTAAGATCCCTTCAGGTTTCTATCTTTGCTCATTATAGACGGATTATTTTATTTGTGATTTCTATCAGTGTGTCAAATTTTCTTACATGACTTCTTGTGAGATGATATAAGAAACACAATACAAAGCAAAACAATGCTATTAAGTAGATGTGTGCTAGAACTAAGAAGTTAGCATGTTTTCTGCCATCAGGGAATAATAGTCTTCATAATCAGGAAGAAAAGATAGCATTAACATTAATAGTCCAGAAAGAAGCCTATGTTTAATGAATATAACACTCACTTCACATTTTATGACCCATAGAAATGTTTAGGTCTCTATTTTATTTGGTACATGTAATGTTCTTCCTTACTACAATGCTGAGATATTTAGTTTATTTGCTTACTAAAAATATTTACACATTACTTGACTTGTAAACCACAAATTGTTAACCACGATATATTCTTGTCTTTAGTATTTTAAGAACTAAAGCAAATAATTTTACCTTTGCCTAGCCATCTTGTGATCCTTAATTTCTCTATTACATAAAGGTTTTTATAAACAAAGTTCTAAATTTAACAACTAATACCATATCTGAAACTTTTTCTTTGTACTGTCTTTTGCTTAAAAAAACACATTCACCCCAAGTAAATCAAGAGACAGAAATAAAACTATGAAAGAGAAGAAAAAAAAACCCACAAAGAAGATTTTACTTTATCTTTTGAATTCTAGATAAGTCTCAGGAATTCAAGCATAAGGACATGGATGGATTACAGAGAGACAAAATCCCATCACAGCAGAGCTCAGGGAATTGAGGGAAGAAAGCAAGTTGTTCTTTGCAGACACTTTTGCAATTTGTTAGTTCTTTTCGGAAATATAGGCTTTCTTTCAGAGATTTTATGAGATTTTTTCTTATGCATAAAATTTGCAAGAAGTTGTCTCCCTCTGTCTATGTATGTTTGTGTGCAAGTTTCAAATGTTGGAAGTAATACAAACAAACCAAAAACAACAACAACAAAATCCAGCCAATAAGAGAATGGTACGTTGTAGTATGAATCAGAATCATAAAAGAGAATTAATTTGTTTAAGTGATTAATTAGCTTCAATCATTTATAGCAGAACCATGACTCCAATGGTGACAAAATATTTGGAAACAAGTTCAGAATAAGACCAATTTAAGAGATCAGGTGTTCTAACTGGCTTCCAGCAGTAGCTGACAGAGCGGAGACTGATAGGCTCAAGGAAAGCATACAGTACTCGGTATGAGAACAAGGCAAATTTGTATTATGCTGTTCAATGTCTAATATTGTATCATCTTAGCCATGAACAAAATTGGTCTGCTAGGCCCTAACATGGATAGAATCTGCATTTTAAGATTAGAATCTAGAGTGTAAGGAAAATATTGTCAAATCTCGTTTGTAGGAGAAAAAAAAAACCCTCTGTCATTATTTTGATCTAAAACATGTAGAAAAGCTTTCAGAGTTAGTAAAATAATAGAAGACTGTAGTAGAAGCCTAAGAACAGTGTCCTTAAAAGGAAGGTGCCCTGGTCTAGAGAATACAAGTGTCTCCAATGATTTTAGACCCAAAAGCAGGTTTTAAAGTGGAGCTTCATGTTTTTTTATTGTGAAAATACCGTAAAGAAG